GTGCCTGTTCATTTAGGCTACTTCCTGGTATTCTTTCTGATATTACTGTATTAGCCACGTGCTTCCATTTCAGGTGCCGTAGGTTGAAGTCCCCAAGCAGGATGATGTTCGGAGCTGGATTTGTGTGGTTTTCCAAGCAGTGTTCTATTTTCATTAGTTGGTCTTTAAACTGCTGAGGGTTTGCCTCGGGTGACTTATATACAAGGACAATAACTACATTTAGGATCTCTATTTTGATTATCAGCACTTCCACCATATCATTTGAGGTGTTTAGCAGCTCAGTACAGATGAGTGTGTCTTTGATGTAGAGGCTGACCCCACCCTGAAGCCAGTGTTTCCTATCACATCTGAAAAGATTGTACTCTGAGATCCATATTTCACCATCATGGTAGTCCTTTGTGTGGGTTTGTGGTAGTCCTTTGTGTGGAGTGCAGCACTTCTTGGATACAGAATAAACAACTGTCAATGTTATCTTAATTGATATTGTAACCAAACTGCACTGCATCCTATGATGTAAGTTAATTACCAGGAAAAAATGCTAAGCCATTTTGGCTACACAGTGAGCCTGAATCAAACATGGCCATAATCTTTTGATTTGGCTATGGTCTACAATTCAGATGATTCTAATAATACTACTTAAAAAGCCAACAACACTTTCCAAAATGGCCCAATTTCCTGAGCAATGTGGAATGGATACGGATCACATTATACCAAACAGTTTGCCAACGGATTTTAAAAGCTACTCAACCTTACCCAACTGAACTCATCTCAATTTCAGCCCATCCTCCAAACATGGGGAGGTAAATGTAACAGCACAAATAAGTGCAATTATGTACTATTCATAGCAGTAATGAATTGTACCTATTTCCATTTAGTATTAAACCGTACTGTCAAATATATTGTGCATATTTGAGTTTTCCTGAAAAGCTGAATAGAAAACCACAACCTAACCTTCTTAGTATTTGAAGATAAGCATTTTATTGATTCTTAATTACAATTAGTACTTAACCTATAGCTATACTGATTTTCAAATTTTGTATAAAATCTCTATTGTTTAATAAAACTGAAAAAGAAATTCCTGATATTTAAAACTTGTTTATAGCAAATTGAAATTGAAAACTTCATCCTAAAATTCTGAGTGTCTTAACAGAAAACTAGGAGAATAAATAGGGGGCGGGGGTAAATGTAACAGCCCCATAAGTGCAATTATGCACTATGTATGACAGTACAGAAATGTACTTATTACACTTAGTATTAAACCGTATTGTCAATTCGGAGGATGGGTTGCCCAATTTAGCACAGCCTATTTAATGATACATGCAACATTTACTACAATTAAAAATCATATCTAATCTAATCTAGCCTATCTAATGATATATGCAATATTAGCTACACTTAGGAAATGTGGTTTGCCAAAAACACATTCTGCCTGAAACACTGTTATTTGCTATGCAAGAATGTTACACTCAAACCCCAATGTATTTACTTTCTCAACCCAATGTACCTTCTTGAATATAAATTAATAAATAAATGAATAAACAAATAATAAATAAATAAAAACTCCACACAATTTGACTGCACCCACATGAAACACGTACGTGTCATTAAAACATTGTACCATTTTTCTGTTCAATAAAGGTTTATTATTATTCAAACGATTCTTTACTACTGAAAAAGTAATGCATGTTGTCAGAGCAGGGGGGGCAAATCCAGGAATTTCAATCAAATATATTAATATTACTAGGCTAGGCTAGGCAAGGCTAAGCTGGGCTGGGTTGGATTAGTTAATTTGAGATAGGTTTTAAAATTAGTTGGTAAAGCATCTTGGGCACAAAGCATCGTGTACCTGTAATCGATGACCTGGTTCACTTTGCAACACACATCGAACTTAAGGCATTAATTCAAGAAAATCCTAATGTCAATACGAGCCTAGCTGAAGACCCCCCCCCCCCAAGAGTTGTGTGCTCACACTCTGGAGAGCAGATATATTATTTCCTTACCTTCATTGTGGTAAATAAAAAAGCATGTAATTAGTGTCTATTGTGCATTCCTCCCCCCCCCCCACTACAGTAGCCCATGAATGCTCAGGTGGAGGATTTTAATTAAAACCTACTTTATCAGCCCAGCTTTATCCCAACCCTAAGCAATACACCCTAACCAAACGAGATATATATATCATATACTGTATATATACTTTGTATCTCTCTCTCTCTCTCTATTTGTGTGTGTGTATAATTATATTATATTTTATTATATATATATATATTATATATATATATATATATATATGTCGTACCTAGTAGCCAGAACTCACTTTTTGGCCTACTATGCAAGGCCCGATTTGCCTAATAAGCCAAGTTTTCCTGAATTAATATATTTTCTCAAATTTTTTTCTTATGAAATAATAAAGCTACCAATTTCATTATGTATGAGGTCAATTTTTTTTTTTTGGAGTTAAAATTAACGTAGATATATGACCGAACCTAACCAACCCTACCTAACCTAACCTAACCTATCTTTATAGGTAAGGTTAGGTTAGGTAGCCAAAAAAAGCTAGGTTAGGTTAGGTTAGGTAGGTTAGGTAGACGAAAAAACATTAATTCATGAAAACTTGTCTTATTAGGCAAATCGGGCCTTGCATAGTAGGCTGAGAAGTAAGTTCTGGCTACTAGGTACGACATATATATATATATATATATATATATATATATATATATATATATATATATATATATATATATATATATATATATATATATATATATATATATACAGTATATATATATATATATATATATACAGTATATATATGTCGTACCTAGTAGCCAGAACGCACTTCTCAGCCTACTATGCAAGGCCCGATTTGCCTAATAAGCCAAGTTTTCACGAATTAATATATTTTCTCTATTTTTTTTCTTATGAAATGATAAAGCTACCCATTTCATTATGTATGAGGTTTTTTTTTTATTGGAGTTAAAATTAACGTAGATATATGACCAAACCTAACCAACCCTACCTAACCTAACCTAACCTACCTTTATAGGTTAGGTTAGGTTAGGTAGCCGAAAAAGTTAGGTTAGGTTGGGTAGGTTAGGTAGTCGAAAAACAATTAATTCATGAAAACTTGGCTTATTAGGCAAATCGGGCCTTGCATAGTAGGCTGAGAAGTGCGTTCTGGCTACTAGGTACGACATATATATATATATAATTATTTAAGTTTGACAATTGTAAAGAGAGGATTAGTGGAAAAGCATAATAAGCCTGGGGCCTCAGATTAAGGACGTGCCCGAAACGCTGTGCATACTAGTGGCTTTACAAGAATGTAATTACTATACTATGTATCATCACAATACCAATGTACCTTCTTGTAAATATATAAATAAAATAAATAAAAATAATAATGTGGTTGGCGAGGGTACTGGGGGCCCACCATCATCAGCCTGTACTGGGGCCGCCACCACCAGCCTGTACTGGGGCCGCCACCACCAGCCTGTACTGGGGCCGCCACCACCAGCCTGTACTGGGGCCGCCACCACCAGCCTGTACTGGGGCCGCCACCACCAGCCTGTACTGGGGCCGCCACCACCAGCCTGTACTGGGGCCGCCACCACCAGCCTGTACTGGGGCCGCCACCACCAGCCTGTACTGGGGCCGCCACCACCAGCCTGTACTGGGGCCGCCACCACCAGCCTGTACTGGGGCCGCCACCACCAGCCTGTACTGGGGCCGCCACCACCAGCCTGTACTGGGGCCGCCACCACCAGCCTGTACTGGGGCCGCCACCACCAGCCTGTACTGGGGCCGCCACCACCAGCCTGTACTGGGGCCGCCACCACCAGCCTGTACTGGGGCCGCCACCACCAGCCTGTACTGGGGCCGCCACCACCAGCCTGTACTGGGGCCGCCACCACCAGCCTGTACTGGGGCCGCCACCACCAGCCTGTACTGGGGCCGCCACCACCAGCCTGTACTGGGGCCGCCACCACCAGCCAGTACTGGGGCCGCCACCACCAGCCTGTACTGGGGCCGCCACCACCAGCCTGTACTGGGGCCGCCACCACCAGCCAGTACTGGGGCCGCCACCACCAGCCTGTACTGGGGCTGCCACCACCAGCCTGTACTGGGGCACAAAGCTTCCTGGCAATACGTTGGTAATGAATAAATATATATTTACTCATTATAATGTTGGTGCTGAATGTACAACACAAAAAACAATTTTAATCTGAAAAAGTACCTTTTTATTAATAAATTAGACGAAAATAAAGAGCTGGTGACACCAAATAAAGTCGACGATCCAAGCGTCGGTTAGGTTAGGTTAGGTCAGCCTAACATATCATGTTTATTCATTACTAACGTATTGCCAGGAAGCTTTGTGAAGCTTGTGTAGCTTGTGGTAATTAGACGGACCCCTGGGGCCGCCACCACCAGCCTGTACTGGGGCCACCAGCCCATACCTGGGCCACCTGCCCGTACTGGGGCCAACACCAGCCTGTACTAGGGCCACCAGCCCGTACTGGGGCCAACACCAGCCTGTACTAGGGCCACCAGCCCATACTGGGGCCACCACCAGCCTGTACTGGGGCCACCAGCCTGTACTGGGGCCGCCGCCAGCCTGTACTAGGGCCACCAGCCCGTACTGGGGCCAACACCAGCCTGTACTAGGGCCACCAGCCTGTACTGGGGCCGCCACCAGCCTGTACTGGGGCCACCAGCCTGTACTGGGGCCAACACCAGCCTGTACTAGGGCCACCAGCCCGTACTGGGGCCGCCACCAGCCTGTACTGGGGCCACCAGCCCGTACTGGGGCCGCCACCAGCCTGTACTGGGGCCGCCACCAGCCCGTACTGGGGCCAACACCAGCCTGTACTGGGGCCAACACCAGCCCGTACTGGGGCCGCCACCAGCCTGTACTGGGGCCGCCACCAGCCCGTACTGGGGCCAGCACCAGCCTGCCAGTCACCTCACACTCCGTGGTGCGGCAACACTGCCTCACTACACACCTTCAGGTCTCCCGGACACAGGTGTGGCCTACCTCAAGACGTGCTGGGGAGGAGTTCAGGGAGGAGCGACGACCCTAGTTACCACGGACCCTGGAGTGACGGACCACACTGCCCCGCCTCCCCCTCCCGTCAGCTGACACTGCGGCTCCTCCCCCTCCGTCAGCTGACACTGCGGCTCCTCCTCCCGTCAGCTGACACACTGCGGCTCCCCCCCCCCGTCAGCTGACCACTCTGCGGCTCCTCCCCCCCCGTCAGCTGACCACTCTGCGGCTCTTCCCCCCGTCAGCTGACACTGCGGCTCCTCCCCCCCCTGTCAGCTGACCACTCTGCGGCTCCTCCCCCCGTTAGCTGACCACTCTGCGGCTCCTCCCCCTGTCAGCTGCCCACTCTGCGGCTCCTCCCCCTGTCAGCTGACCACTCTGCGGCTCCTCCTCCCGTCAGCTGACCACTCTGCGGCTCCTCCCCCCGTTAGCTGACCACTCTGCGGCTTCTCCCCCTTCCCCGTCAGCTGACCACTCTGCGGCTCCTCCCCCTTCCCTGTCAGCTGACCACCCTGCGGCTCCTCCCCCTTCCCTGTCAGCTGACCACTCTGCGGCTCCTCCCTCCGTCAGCTGACACTGCGGCTCCTCCCCCTCCCCCGGCAGCTGACCACTCTGCGGCTCCTCCCCCCGTCAGCTGACACTCTGGGGCTCCTACCCCCCGTCAGCTGACCACTCTGCAGCTCCAACCCCCCCCCCCCCCTGTCAACTGACCACTGCGGCTCCTCCCCTCGTCAGTTGACACTCTGGGGCTCCTCTCCCCGTCAGCTGACACTGCGGCTCCCCCCCCCCTGTCAATTGAGCACTCTGCGACTCCTCTCTCCGTCAATCAAATCAAATCAAATGTTTATTCAGGTAAAGTACATATATACAAGGCGAAATACAAAAGTTGATGGATACATAGATAGGGCTAGTTCATACAATGCCTGAACTATTACGCAAAGCGTTTCGGGCAGGAAAAAACTAAGACTAAAACTTAATACTAACTTAGATTAAAGTATAAATTGTGTTGAGAAAAAATCAGAAAAAATGAAAAAATCGTAGACATGGGTTGACATTTTGGGGGTGAGGTAGGTTACATTGAGTTAATTAGGTAGTACTTAGTTTTTATCTTAAACTGGTTGGGAGACGTACAGTCTTTAACATGATTGGGAAGGTCATTCCACATTCGAGGTCCCTTGATTTGTAAAGCATTTCTAGTTTGACTAAGTTGTACTCTTGGAATATCAACTAGGTATTTGTGTAGCGAGTAGATTATCCTAATAATATACTCGATCCAAATGCATTGTTAATATTCCTGTCAACCTTTGGAGATGAATGAGGTGAGGCGTTGCCCGGGCAACACGGTGAGGTGTTGCCTGAGCATATAAGCAGCAGAATAGCAAACATTAACTAGTCTACTTTCAAGTGTGGTCTAGAGCAGACACTTGCGAGATACTGTACCGACTCTCAGTGCGCTCAACTCACACCAAAGTATCACCAGTATACTTCTGTATATTCGACCAAATACATATATAGTATCTTAGTGTCTGTGTTTATTGTCACCGTTACATTGTGTTGCCCGAGCATATAAGCAGCAGAATAGCAAACATTAACTAGTCTACTTTCAAGTGTGGTCTAGAGCAGACACTTGCGAGATACTGTACCGACGCTCAGTGCGCTCAACTCACACCAAAGTATACTTTGGTGTGTACCAGTATATACCAGTATACTTCTGTATATTCGACCAAATACATATATAGTATCTTAGTGTCTGTGTTTATTGTCACCATACTTTACGTAACAATAGAACCGTTACATTGGTGACCCAGTGAGTGAAAAGAATACCTAGTCACAAACTAGATCTTCGTCATGGATTTATCTACCAGGTTTCCAGCATACAACGCAGATGAGCCAGAATTTTGGTTCATGCAGATGGAGGCTATTTTCGACCTTCACGAAATTTCGACTGAGAAAGCCCGATATGCCTGTACCCTGCCAACACTTACCTCGGAGGCTATGCACACTGCCTCCGCTGTCATCACCGGACACCAGGACGTACACCACATTGAAGGCCGCTCTTCTACAGGCAGCAATGAAACGCCGCATTCAACAAAAGGACCAACTCCTCACTGACAAAAGATTAGCAGACAAAACACCAGCTCAGCTTCTGCGGCATATTCAGTATGTGATGCATACTGCAACTGGCCCAGCCCCCAGCGAGATTGTGAGATCACTATGGATACAACTCTGTCCAAAACACATTCAACCGGCCCTATTCAGTGTGGCTGACGACACCCCATTAGACCAGCTGGCTACACTGGCAGACCGGCTTCATACGACGTCTGATAACGCTACGCTGTCCCATCCCAGTGTAACACAGCAGATTACAGACACCCAACAACTCGACGTCCTCCAGAACCGGCGTTTCTTCCACCCAGGGAGGACGTACCATGCGAATCCAGTATCAGTCTCTAGGCGACAGCGAGAACGTCGGGGAGAGCTTTGTTCTTACCATCAGAAGTTCGGACACCAAGCCCGCAACTGCAGCGCTCCTTGTTCCTGGTCGGGAAACTACTTCGGCGGGGACTGTTAACGGCCAGTGACCCCGCCATTTCAAACATTACACTGCTCTACATATCTGACATCATAACCAAACGCCGTTTCCTCGTTGACACAGGTGCAGCAGCTAGTGTGTTGCCTCCCCCACTGGTCAAACCAACCCGTACTCCTGGTTTGAACTTACGAGCCGCCAATGGTACGTCCGTCCGTACATATGGGACCCACGCCCTGGTTCTCGAGTTCGCCTCTCTGGGTCGCTTTACGTGGACTTTCCTCATAGCGGATGTGGAACAACCCATTCTTGGATGGGATTTCCTGCAACACCATCGACTTATTGTGGATCCCGCAGGTGCAGTACTTCGAGCCTCTCCTAGTACCTCTACACAAGTTAACATCGTCACCCCAGTCGCATCTACGGAACTTCAAGCACTCCTGGATGAATTCAAAGATGTGACCCAACCCGCCAGCCCTCAACCAGAGGTGCAACATATATATACGATTACGCATCACATTACTACAACGGGAGCACCTACCTTCGCCAGACCACGCCGCCTGGCACCGGAACGACTGGCGGTAGCACGTGCTGAATTCAAAAATCTACACGAGGCAGAAATAATCCGCCCTTCGAACAGTCCATGGGCTTCACCTCTCCATATGTTCACTTTTACAACCCCAGTTACCAGCCGCACCACAACCTGATCCTGCGACGACGGACGATCCTGTACGACCTCCCACCCTACGACCCCAGTTAGATGACATCAGCGAAGAGGAGGAAGTTAACTTTGATGGTTATGTAACGCGAGCAGGGCGTACAATTCACCGACCAGCTAAGTTCCTTGATCAAGTATTTTTCCTTTCATCCCCTGGGAGGGGGAGTTCTGTAGCGAGTAGATTATCCCAATAATATACTCGCTCCAAATGCATTGTTAATATTCCTGTCAACCTTTGGAGATGGATGAGGTGAGGCGTTACCCGGGCAACACGGTGAGGTGTTGCCCGAGCATATAAGCAGCAGAATAGCAAACATTAACTCACGGGAGACACCTCCCATCACGCAGGGTGCAGTCGCACCTCCACAGATCTCCAGTATCATCTATTGATACTGGTGGTGGCTCAAAAGGGCCACCACTTACGGGCAATTCATGCCTGTGCCACCTTTTGGGTGGCTTAATCTAAATCAATCATCATCAAACATTAACTAGTCTACTTTCAAGTGTGGTCTAGAGCAGACACTTGCGAGATACTGTACCGACTCTCAGTGCGCTCAACTCACACCAAAATATCACCTGTGTACTTCTGTATATTCGACCAAATATATATATAGTATCTTAGTGTCTGTGTTTATTGTCACCATACTTTACGTAACAATAGAACCGTTACATTTGTTTCTGGTGTAGTGTTCATGGGATCTGTTACAACCTTCTAGGAAGCTTTTAAGGTCAGGATTGACATTACAGTTCAGCGTTTTATATATATAAAATACACATGAGAGGATGTGCAGTGACTTAATATCTAACATATTCAGAGATTTGAGTAAGGGTACCGAGTGATGTCTGTGGCCAGAGTTAGATATTGTCCTAATTATAGCAGCTTTGTGTTGAGTAATTAGAGGACGTAAATGATTTTGGGTAGTAGAACCCCAAGCACAAATACTGTAGTTGAGATAAGGATGGATGAGAGAGTATAGAGTGTCACCAGGGCAGGGCGAGGTACTTAATATCTAATCTTAGAAAGAATGCCAACAGTTTTTGAAACTTGTTTTGATATATTTAGAATGTGTCCCTGGAAATTCAGCTTGTGGCCAATGAGAACTCCAAGGAATTTGCCATCTACTTTGTTACAAATTTGGGTATTGTTAATCCTGAGATTTATTTGATTTGAGGATTTGTTGCCAAACAAAATATAGAAAGTTTTGTCAATATTGAGGGTGAGTTTGTTGGCAGTTAGCCAGTGATGGACTTTATTTAGCTCAGTATTCACTGTGGCATTTAGAGCAAGGGGGTCAGGACTGGAGTAAATGAAGGTCGTGTCGTCAGCAAATAGAATTGGTTTGAGATGTTGGGAGGCATTTGGAAGGTCATTAATGTAGATGAGAAAGAGGAGAGGGCCAAGTATGCTCCCCTGGGGAACACCAATGTTGATGGGTAGGGTGGGAGAAATTCAATTATTCACAGAAACATATTGGAGCCTGTCAGTAAGGTAAGACTTAAGGTATTGCAGGGAGTGACCTCTGACTCCATAATGATGTAATTTAAGAAGAAGGTTTTGGTGGTTGACATGCAGTGTCCACAGGTCCACAAATAACCCAATAAGGAACTCATTTTTATCAAGAGCTGCATGTATGAAGTTAATCATACAAATAAGTGCATCGTTAGTGCTTTTTTGGGGTCTGAAGCTATATTGACAAGAGATAAGTATATTGTGTTTGGTTAGATAAGAGTAAAGCTGTTTGTAGATAAGTTTTTCAAATATTTTAGACAAGTTTGGCAGAATTGCAACCCGCTCTCACACAAGACAGCACATATACAGTAAATGCCACAGTAAATACTGAGCTAGAGAAAGTCCATCTTTGGCTAACTGCCAACAAACTCACCCTTAACATTGACAAAACGTTTTATATTCTG